CATTCATTTTATTGGTATACAAATTTTAAAGATGCTCAGTGTAAAGGACTTTGGAAAATCGGAGCTGAGCATATTAAATGTCCTATATTCACTGATGTGCAACAATGTGCTGCTGGGAAAATGACCTTTAGAGAGTGATTCTCTTTGATAATAGATCTAGAAACTACAGCAATCATCTATCTTATAGTTGTTCAACAGGTTCCGTAGCCAAAACCTACTTGTGGTGATCATCTTTCAGTGGTAAGGAGCCAGCACTTTGTCTAGTTTTTTTCTAGTTGGAAAAACCAATGAAGCATGGTTTGTGCATGAATCCTTTAATGTCATTTCAAGTTTTGTGATGGTGTCAGTCCTGAATATCTGAAGCCGCCTTGTATTGAGTCAGACCACAAGCCCCAGTAGTCTCTGTCCTGGGTGATATGAGCTATGTAGAGTCTTGGACAGAAAAGCCTTTCCCAATCCTGCTACCTGTGATCTTTTTAAGCTTGAGATGTTGGAGATTAAGCTAAAACCTTCTGCATGCAAAGCATGTCTTTTCCCACTGATTTTTTTCTAACCTTATTAAATCAAATAATCACTAGACAGAGTTTACTACAGTAATATCTGTATGGTCAAGAGATTTAGCTAGATTTTTATCAAAGTAATCTGATTGCAGTGGAAAAGTTCTCTATGCATATGCATGCAATTCTAATGTTCATGACTTAGCAATTGGTCATATTTGCTTTTCCCATCCCTAAGCTTGAGCATAAATCCTCTAAAAACTTATTTCCTGTAGTGCTTCATGGAAGAGTTACTTGCTTGAATTTCTCCATTAAAATATAATGTCCTTAAAAGTTCTCAACTTTGGCTGGATAGTGCTCAATGTGTATAGTTTTCTGTGTCTTACTCTGAAGTCTTAAGTTCAAATATTAGCTCATGTAGTAGTGCTATTGTATGGATTTCACTTTTTAAAATTATTGATCCGAAACTTAAAAGTATGTAACTACTAAGATTATGTCCCCAAGAAAGCCAGTTTCTGGTGTAATTTCAAAGCTCCTGTACAGTAAGCCCCTCGAGAACCCTTCGAACATCAACTGCCTCATTCAACAGAACACTGAATGGCTTTGCTTGTATATCCATTGTGCATGCCGAACGGCTCGCAACATTGCTGTGAATAAGGAATACAAACTCAAGAGGAGCTTAATGTGTGCAGTGGAATGCCATCAAAGAGTCCATCATTATTACTGGCCCTCAAGCAGTTCTTAAAGACTTACCTGATTACTTTTTCCTATTACAGAGTCAGTATTAATTGCCATAGTGTTTATGATGTTGTCTGGTTTTAATTATTTTTCATTTTATTGTTATTTTACCATTGTTTTATGTTTTGTGATTTTAGTTTTTCATGTACATCATCTGTAAAAGATTGATTATAAATCTTTTCAAGAAATTGACTGTGGCATTCTTCCACAGTGCATGTAGAAGTCAAGCATGCTATTAAAATATCTCAGGTTGTAGGGCCCTGGGCAGATGAAAGTTGGACAAAGCTGAGCCAAAGCATAGCACAACTGTGGGAAAAATCTGCTCCTAAACACTGCAGCTCCAGGCATGGAAAAGGGAGGTGTAACTTAACTTCTCAGAGGTGTAACATAAGATCCAGGCACAAGGTCAGCTTAAGGTCAAAGTACAGTGTGAGGTGTGGGGATTATGCTTGACCTTTCACAAAGGTCCAGTAGGAAGGACACGTTTTGGCTTGGCTACCAAGGCCTGCCAAAATATGCAAACACCTGCTTACATTTTACGGTATGTCATTCTTCCTATGAGAATGCTGTGTTTTAAGAAGACTTTCAGCAAGTACCTTTCCTATGATATAGCTGATACAGAAGAAGTAAACATTCACTCTCTTACTCATTTACCAATACACACACATACATTGCTACAATATGATACCCTAATCGTTTATTTTATTAATTAAATATTTGAGCTCATTATTGTTCAGCAGCCAAAGTTATATGGGTGATTTACCACAGTTCATAAAGCAAGACCATAACACAATAAAAACATGCAAATTTTCCAAAAGAAATGTATTTGTGCAACCCCCCCCCCCCCCCCCGGTCAGCAGTGTCACATCTTTGTTTTGAACCAATTGAACTCTGGGCCGTTTTCAAAGGCAAATTGATTCACTGTCCCTGCAGTACGACATGTATCATTACTTGGCTTTCTGGTACTGCCATTCAGCAGTATGTCTCATGCTTGCTCAGCATTATTGGATAGGGGCGACTATATTGAGAGATAGATTGGACTTTCTTGTTAAATCTGAATCACACAAGATCAGTAAACCATGTATGGTTGTAGTAAGAGAAGGAATTTGTAAACATTCTTGCTGCATGAAGAATTAGCATGGTTGCATATTAATACCTGTTACTTTTATACGGAAATTGCTTCTGACTTTGAGTTGTATTGGCAACTTTTGAATTGGCAGCTGCTGTGTCATAGGGAAATGAACAACATACATTTGAATATATAAATAAGTTGTAGTCTTGTTCCATTTTTATATGTGAAATATTTTCAGATCACTCAAATTGGTCAACATCAAACAATAAACCACTTCAGACAAGAGCAAAATCAAACTTCAGTGAACACTACAAGTCAAATTCATATTGACTGTTCAGAAGAGAACTTTTGCATGTGCTCTTACCAAAATGTTCTGTCATGTGTTGCAATAAAAAGTTGTTTGATGATGACGTTCTTGTTTTAATCTGTCTGATGGCGATGCTGTTTTCTCCTGGTTACAAGAAGGCAGATGTGATTACCAACAACCCTTAAAATTCTTCAGAAAACAGTACAAAAATATTTACAATCCAATAGAGGCTCCCAGGGGGATAACTCAGGGCACTTTTCACTTTGACTTCCATGTAGTAGCAAAACTGCCCATGTTAGTAGTATGCTGCCTGCAATAATTAAGACTTCAGTATTTCACATACAGGTACTCGGCCTACCAGCTAACTACTGATACTATGTCTCTTTTATGGCTCCCTTACTTGCCAGTAGTCCTGCTTGTCCTGGACTCTTTTTTAAAAACTTTAGAATAATTGGAAATCGAAGATCATAGAGGTCCCCCACCTTTTGGAATCTAGTACGCACAACTAGAATTTTGAAAGCATGTCATAGACCCTCTCACAAAATGGCTCTCATGGACAGGATACCTGCCCATTTGTAGAATGGTGTGCATGGTGAATATGGCCAGTCACAAAGTACTAATTTCCCAAAAGTCAAACTCATGAGCCTAAAAGAAAAGTAACTTGCCCAAGGTGGACTACATGGAATAAGCCCAAAGCAAAGGTGAGCCAAAACTACTCTTTTGAAGCCAAATAAGGGTGTTTGTGGAGGCTAGTTCTCTTGCACAGCAACATGCCTCCTCCGCCCACAGTTAAAAATGATTTTTAATTGCTTTAAAACTAAAATAACAGGAACCTAGAGACTGCCAGGGAAAATGTCCAGGGGTACATTGGTTCCCAGGCACACCACACTTTAAGATGCCCATAAAGTGTTCCACACTTAAGTAATTGAGGCAAGAGCTAGGAAGGGCTCATTTCAGTGAACGTAGAGCCAGCAGCTGTGGCTGTTTGGATGTGAGAGTGCTCTGGCTGCAGCTGCGATTATGCCATGGATCTCCAGGGTTGATCTGGCTGGCTAGGTGGGTCCATGTGTGTCAGTCCCAAAACTGTACACTAAGTGGAAGAGGATAGCCATCCCAGCTAGGAGTGTGCCACTCTGCAGTCGGAGGCATTTGATGTTTCCAAAGTGCAGCCTGCGTCATGAGCGGAGCCGGCTGGAGCCGGGAGTCAGGCTAGATGGCGCAGGAGGCCCTTTCTGACTCACTCTGTTTCTATGTGTACATGTTTATTTCAGGCCTTGTTTGATGGGTTTTGTTTGTTTTTGCAAATTGACATATTTTCTACTTTAATCTCATAACTGACTTGCCTCTGACCATCGCCTTCCTTTGGCTAATCCTTTAGCTGGCTTTCTCTTGGAAAATATATCGATAGAGTTTGATAAAAGCTGAAATTTTGCAGAGGGGATCTTTAAGTGGCGGAGCATGCCATCCCCTGCTGCATGATGAGTACGGCTCAGTGGCTGCCCCATGCTACTCTGTTAGTAGCTGTTGGGTCACAGAGATACCACTAGGAGTCAGTGCTGACGGCAACCAAAAGTTTTAAAATACGAGACTATGATGTGTGATGCTGCTCTTCCTCCAGTCTCAGCTGAACTAATTTGGAAAGCTGGACGGATTTTTCCCACCTTCCAAGCATCCAGTTATGTACATGTGCTACACAGAAATGTTACACCCGTCTTTTTGGTGGGGGGAGTGGCCGCATCGTGGCTGCAGTGGCAGTGGCAGCTTTGGCCATCTGTCGTTGAGCACAAATCTTGGGCTACTCTGCCTGTCAGTGGAAGGAAATAACCATGTTAGGAAATGGCTTTCCTCATTTAGCAGACCCTGTCAAGTAAAATCTCCATGTGCTGCTGTTGCAGGCAAGAAAACATTCTGACCTGGAAAGAATGTAGACTCTCTAACTCATTTTTCCTAGCACACGACTAGCTTTTTACAGCCTTACTGGATCATAAGAGACTTGCAGTAAGGAAAACAAGTGTTTATCAGGACTGTAACTAAGAGTTACAATCAGCACAATCTTAGGTATCCATAAACTGATTTTTGGGTTGGCTCACATATTCTACCAAAAAAATTAAATGATAAATATAACTCATTGGTTTCTTCCTGGGACTAATGAATCAGAAGCCATAGTCTGCAAGGAGAAAAAGGGAAGACTTTCAACTGGTCTGGCGAACAATGGTTAATATTGGGTAGTGGCTTCTTCTCATGTGACCATAAAAGTGTTGACTTCTGGACAGTGCTTGCTGCCTAACAGCCAGTCACAGTATTTGGAATAAGGTGTGACCTGTTTATTCATAGTTAGCCAATCAAAATAGTACTCTGTGAACTTCATTCAAGACAAGCAGGCTCATAGGATGTGTGTAAATATACCCTGTTCAAGAGAGACTTAACAGGGACTTGCAAAGGAGACTCATAGGCTGGATTTCTTCAAACTCAGAGGAAAATTGACAGAATTTTCTTTGGATTAACTGTTTAAAAACCACTTAGGTATGTCAGAAGGGGAAGACCTTGGACAGAGTCAAAGGTACTGTGATTTTATTTCCTGGATTTTGTTGCTGTTTTTATTAATTTGTATTCTTTGCATAGGAATATTAGCTGATTTTTAGCCTTGAGTTGCCTATAAATAAGTTGCTTGGACTGTTTCACATTTGTGGAAGTAAGCCTAAAGTTTCTTGCATGACAATAGCAATGTAAAGTTTAGTTATTTTTGAGCCAGATGAAATTGGAAACTAGAATCACTTAAGATAATAGTGACATTACATTCTGTGACTTTTAAAAAGTCACTGTCCCACCCTTGCCCTCTATTGATGCTGCCAACGTAAGAGACTTGAAATGTCAGAGACACAAATAACTCTAATGTAGTCTCTTATTGACAGATAACTTATTACTACTAGAAAGGGCACAATGTTCCTATGAGATATGCCTGGGAGAGAATGCTTTCTCCCAGTTACAACTTAAGTCACCATCAGGCTGCAAAACAAAATGTGAAGGGTTGCTGTAAGCCCTTCCCCAACACAGTGTCCTCCAGGTGCATTGGTCTACACCTTGCATTGTGTTGTAGGCCAAAACATTTGGACAACACTAAGTTGAGGAAGCCTGATCTAAAATACATTAAAAGAACTCCTTTTTCTCTTGGGTTATAATTTGCTACTTGTTTGGAACCATTAGCCATCTAGATCAAAGGGCAATATGACAAAGTTAAAGAATACAATTTAAAAATAACAGATTCTTTATCCAGATCTTATTGTCCCATTACGTCTCTCCCACACACACTTAGTTACAAAACTCTGTTCTTCAGTTGAGAGACTAGAAAAATAAACATGTTGCCGTTCCTATCCTAGTTGGTGACTGAAATAAAAACTGAAATACTAGAAGAAAAACTGGGGGAACAAACTTGACATTATAAAGGTAAACCCGTAGCGAACTATGGTTAAGTTCAATAGAAAAGAGATAAATCTTACTTCTAAATTTGAGGCATTTACCCCAAAAAACTTTTTAAAAACCCAAGGTAATATTTTAATATTTTTAAAAAGAAAACATGTCTGTTCAGATTATGATGCAGATTATATTAGAAGTTGAGTGTGATTACAGACAATTGGTTTAAAGGGAGGCAAAGAGCAAGAAGCATATGCTGTTGCTAGATTTGATTGCAACAGCAGCTTGATTGTTGATTGTTAAGGCTCTCTGTTTCTTTCAGATGTTCAGTGCTTTTCTCAAAATTGTAAAAAAAAGTTATCCACAGTGGTAAGGAAGATGAAAATTCCATGTGTTTCTGTCTTTAGTGTGGTTGCATGTTATTCATACATTAAATGGAGAAGTGTTTATTATTTTAATGTGCTTCAGATTAGGAGGGGGTGTTTATAAAGGGCTATATTGATTTTATCAGTATTTATGGTGCACAGACATGGGATAAGATTTTATTGTCACTAGAACTATTAACATTTCAGACAAATGTGTTACTCTCAAGAAAATCTCCAGTTTGTTCCTGTGATTGTAATCCTAAATTCAGACTTGGGAAAACGTGTCCGGTGTGGGAACAAAGAATAGGTAATAGTTTGATAGATCAGACGATAGGCTCTTGATGCTTTTGTGGAGAAGCAGCACTTATTTCTGCAAAGAATATCATGGGGTGGCAATGTGTGACCTGCCTAACTCCGTCCTGACCTTTTTCTGTGGAGTCCAGTAGACTTCCAGTCCTTCTTTCCTTCACTATTTAGATGAAAGTATTAGGGAAAACTATGCAGAAGTTTGGAATTAAGTGGCAGTATGTGGATGCCATCCAGGTCTACCTCCACATTTCCATCCCACCCCAGCATCCTGTCTGCCTCCACTGGCTCAGATTACATGGCATGACAGCAGGCCCATTTGTTTCAACTTGGGTCTGCCCATGCTTGCATATCAAGCAGGTGCACAGGTGAGGGGTACTGAACCCCCATTCTGTGGCTCTACCCTGCAGGCAATTTTCTTTGATCTTGGCTTGCTTGGAGGGGCTTTGGGCGGGGGGGGGGGGCAGAAACAGGAAGAGGTTTGAATAAGAGACTACACAGAGGCAAACTGTAGGAAGAGTCAGTGCTCCTTATGTGTCTTTCTCCTTGGCTCTTAAAATTGGATTCTGCACTTTATGTGATTAGAGCTGAGTCAGCTTTTAAAAAATAGGTTTGCTTCTTTCATGTATAGTTTGTTTATTACATTTAGATTGAATTTCATTGTTTGGCACAGTGGGTTCTGCAGTACAGGTGACTAAGTTGAACCCTGCAAGTATGAATGAAAGAGGGTCATGAGTTTTGTGACCTGAGTTCTGATGGCTGGAAAGTCAGTAATAAGTAGTTTCAACTTCTGCAGCTGTGCTTTCAAATCTAGGTTATGGCAGTGACTAAATCCTGCATGTGTGCGGATGTGTTCATAGATACCATCTTGTGAAAGAGCCATTGTTCTTTCTGGACTTGTATAACTTTATATTGACGGCAACTACCTTAACTTTTCCAGCAAGTCTGAATATATGCTGGAAAGATTACCGAATGCAACCTTCTAATAAAAAAGATCAACTGCTGGTTACAAGGATAACTCTAACCATAGCTTAAATAATGAACAAGACAGGGAGCTTTTAATGAAATCTACACATTTCATTCAATGACTCCCTTCAGTTTTAAGAAAACCCTGCCTTTCTGGGAGCCTTCAAAGGACAGGTAGCTAAGAGGTGGTAGGTAAGGGGCTTGTCAGTAGGTGGGATGAGTCTGCTGTAGCCTTTTAATTTGAGCACTAACTCCAGCCATCCCTTAAAAAGTCAGTTTAGTATTATTCACTAAGAGGGGCCTGGAAGCTCTGTGTATGAGTATGACTGCCCTAGTTTTAAGAATTAATCTTGGCAAAAGCAGTTTCACAGAGAAGCTCTTTTATGCTAATTCCCGTCTTCAGAGTAGTGGTGCCTCATGGTTTGAACGACTCGAGATAAAATGCTTCTATGTTCAAACTGCAAGCGAAGTGAAAAAATTGTAGTTGCAGCAAAAACTTCATCTGTTGTGCATTTTCAGTGCTTTTTTTCCTTTCTTTTTGGTTATATAGGAGGTGTGATCAAAAAATAGGGTGAATGTTTAAATTAAAAAACTTTTACAGTAAAAGACACTGCCAGAAATCCCCCTCAAAATACCTCCCCTCGCTTCAAACACAGTTATCCTATCATTCTTGCCACTTGCTGAAGCTGTTCTGGAAGTCCTCTTTTGTGAGTGTCTTTAGTTGCACTGCCATGGCTGCCTTGATGTCCTGAAGGGGGGACCGTGTGCTGGCATGGGATCCCAGATGGGTTGCAGTGGCAGCTGTAGGCAGCTCCTCATCCTACCACACATGAAGGACCACCATTTCCCCCTCCATTAGAAGGGGGAGAGGAGGAGCCGCTCCTCCATGCTCTGCCTCTGCTCAGTGGGTCACCAGAGCCTCTTTGCCGCCTTCATGAACAATGAGCAAGGCTAGCGTGCAGCCGCGCTCTCAGCACACTCCCTGCATGCTCACAGGCCTGCTCCTTCGCTCCTGCTCATTGTTCATGAAGGCGGCAAAGATTATGCTTGGCTAAAGTGAAAGGCTGTAGCTCAGTGGTATGACAGAACATATATGTGTGAGAGAGTGGGAGAGGGGCATGTAAAGGTCCCAGGTGCAATTTCTACCATCTCAGGTAAGATTGAGAAAGCCTTTTCTCTGAAGCCCTGGGGAGTGACTGGCAGTCACTGTAGACAAATACTGGACTAGATAGGCAGGGGACTGGCTCAGTGTAAGTCAATAGCCTAGGTTGGTATCATACACTAGTATAGCCCCCAAGAAAGCAAAATTTCACCATTCCTAAACCTGTACATTAAAATGGCAATTTAAATTTATAAATAATGGTATGGATCCATTTTTAAATAAATATGCTAAAATAGCAATCAAATAGTATACAAACAGTTAAATAAAAAAGCAATTGTAAAACAAACTAATACATAAATATGTGCTATTACTACCAACTATACTAGGAGCATGAAAGTTATTTTCCAAAAGGAAAGATCTCACAGTGAAGAGGTCTCAAAAAAAAATCTTACTGTCCAAATCTCCTAATCCTCTCCTAAACTTCTTCATATTTTGCCATGTGTTACCAGGGCAGAATCCATCTCCTCCTTGATCAGTAAAGTTGATTACATTTGAATGTAAATCTCTAGATGGTCTTTTAGATACCTAATGTGCTGCGTCAATTTCTCCAAATTCCACACTTTCCCATATCAATCACTCAAATTGGGAATTCTTTCACTTCTCCAGTTTGGGGCAAAAACTTGCCTAGCAAGCTACAAATGAATGGTTCTGCAAATAATAGAAAATCCATTAGTCAGCTTAAAGTAAGGCTTAACATGGATTAAGAATAATTGATTAGTGGTTTTTAAATTTCATTTTCAGTCTCTTCCCAGAAGCATCAAATAAATGGGTATGTCCACCAACTATGAAAGTACAAACCTAAGGTTCCACCCACCCCACCCCACCCCACCCCACTCCTCCCCTCCACCAATGTAATGGACAGTAATTTTGGTTATTCTTGCAAGCATCGCTCAAGTAAAATAACATCTATAAATTAACTTGAACTTTCTCTAATGTAAGCTGAGATTTTATTTATTTTTTATGTTTTATTTTATTTTTCAATTTATATCCTGCCTTTTTCCTACAAAGGGCTCAAGGCAGCTTACATCATTTTCCTCCTCCATCTTATCCCCACAACAACAACCCTGTGAGGTAGGTTGGGCTGCGAGTCTGTGACTGGGCCAAAGTCACCCAGTTGGCTCCCTGGCTGAGCGGGGACTAGAACCCAGATCGTCTGAGTCCCAGTCCCATGCTCTTAACCACTACAGCAAACTGGCTCTCCAGTTTGAATCCAGTGGATGGGTAGACCAAATTTATTTCATACTGAGACTATTTTTAAAACCCTTAAGTTATAATTAGCAGTATCAAGAAGGTATTTATAGTTTTTTTGAAACAATTCCTCTAGATGATGATGATGATGATGATGATGAT